CAACCAGGTCCCGAACCTATTGACTCTATGTTTTCAATTGTTCGATCTAATCGACAATCTCAACATACATGTCAGAGCATGTCACATTCAGGAGCAAAGAATGTAATAGCAGGCGGCTCTCTCTCGGCCACACCTACCATCGCCCGACAGAATGGATGCTCCATACAGAGATATTAGCACAAATTATCAAGAAAATAGGAGCTCCACTAATAGACCTATTTGCCACTTTCGCTTCAACAATCAGCTGACAACATTCAGTATCACCAGTCCCAGACCCACTAGCATGGGCAGCGGGCGCACTAAGCATATCGTGGGAAGGACTCAGCGGCGTGCAGCGTTCCGCCACCAGCGTTAATCCCACAGGTGTTACAGAAAATCAAGCAAACTTCGGAGCCTCCAAATGATTTTTGTGTCGCCCTACTGGCCAGCAGAGCGTGGTTTCCAACTCTTATTCAAGAAATCGGACAACCAATACTACAACTTCCAAAGCTCGAATCTACTAATACATCCTCACCAAACAAAGCGCGCGGAAAGCCAGAAGCATTCCAACTTCGCGTATGGACTGTATTAAAGGTGTGTCTAAACAAGAGAGGTTATTCAGCCAGGCGGTAGAAAGCAGTCGCGCTTGCATTACGCAACTCCACTTTCGCAACTTGCAATGCGATGACAAGTGGCACAGTTTTGAAAATTATGCTGCAAAGAAAGGATTTACAGCTAGATATGCTACACATCCACAAGTGGCTGACTACTTATGTTACCTACGACAGACTAAGCGTCTAAAAGGCTCAACATTATCAACATATCTTGCAGCTTTAAGCTCCGTCATAACTATGAGAGCGGGTGTCAAGTTGGCGAAGACCCCAGAGTTACTGGCCTTACTACGTGCATTCGATTGGAGGATCAGAAACAGAGATTTCGGCTCCAGCATGGGATCTAAATATAGTGCTCCAACACCTCACAAGTGAGGCATATGAACCACTGGAATCAACATCATTGAATTTCTGACACAGAAAACTTTGTTCCTGTTATCCCTAGCAACAGCAGCCAGGATGTCAGAGATTCACGCACTAGATTACGAGAGAGAACGGCTTTGATGACAATCATAACATCGTGCATATGGGACTACGGCTGGGATTTCATCGCCAAGAACCAGTTGCCAGGTCAACCAGACAGATTATTCCGTCCCAGCTCTCTCATCAATTCTCGGACCTCATGATACACTGGATCTATCATTATGCCCAGTCAGAGCACTGAAAATATATCTCTGGCGATCCAAACCAAGGTGACAAAAACTCAAACGATTATTCATCCCTCTATCGACAGCTACACAGACTGAAGTCTCACGTACAAGTATCTCGATATGGATCAGAACTGTCATACTACGCGCCTACAAGGCTGCAGGACTCGACCCTCCAAGAGCATCTAATCCACATGAAATTAGAGAGCTAGCTTCAACACTTGCTCTACACGGCAATTGCTCTTTGAATACCATCATGGAGGGCTGCTTCTGGAGATCCGATATGGTGTTTGCCAACCACTATCTGAGAGATATCACCATTTCGGTCCCATGGTCCTCGCACAGCAGTTGACAGTCCCTCGGAGAAGATAAGTCAATCTTACGAGATTTTTACTGCTTATTTCACAACAGTACTATATAGCTAATAACTCCACGAAGTTTATGCTATTATATATTTTAGCTTAAGTCCAATCATAATCTTAAGCTCAGTACTATGTCTGTTATATCATAACAGTATCATTAGCTAACAACTCTATGAAGTTTATGCTATTATATTATCAAGCTTAAGTCTATCTTAGTCTTAAGCCTAGTATTTATGTTGTAAATACTTTAGTTAACTTCTCCATTAGGAGTAGTTTATTTATGTTTATCATAATATCTATATATTGTAGTAACCCATATATGGCAGCTGATAAGCTTAACAGCAGGAATTTATCAATTCAGTGCCTTTATGAAGTTCCCATAGGGGTTATTACAGTTATTACAGTTATCAAATCACTAATTATCTAAATCCAAAGTATTCTGTATTCCCACCTCCGTATCCGTAGGATTCTACAAGCAAAAGAGCATGAGTCAGGATAAGGAAAAATATGTAATTTTCTGAATAAAATTGATATTTTATACTTATCCTGACTCATGAAGTAAGCCCTCCCATCCTCCCCACATAACACTTTGGATTTCCCTGAAAATTCAAGTGTTGGGCTCGCTATATAAGGAGAGAGTGAGGCATGTGGCGGAAGGTGGCGCCCTCGTTCCCGCGCAAATGATTGGGAAGGAGACAACTCTTGGTGAGTACTAATTAGTGATTTTACATTGAAGGGAGCTTCAATTGGGAGATACAAGTGTTCCACTGTGTTCGCAAGAAGAAGAAGACAAGCAAAAGAGCATGAGTCAGGATAAGTATAAAATATCAATTTTATTCAGAAAATTACATGTTAGTGTATACCACTCAAAACAACTTACACAACACCCATGATTGGATTTTGTTTGTTGTTTACTCAGCAATATTCCATACATATATGGAGGCAGTAAACAATCTTAGAATACAGTGATCATGAGCATTGATCTGTGAAATTGGGAAACGATGACGTGTCAACAAGTCAGTAAGCCTGTCCACCACCTCCCCTTGTTCAAGCATGGGTTGCTGAAGATCTTTGAAGGTCACCATGATTGGAGGGTGTGTGATGCAGTAGCCACCACCCGTGACATGTTAACTGTAGTCAGATGATTAAATAGGTTGATTTTAAACTTCTTTTACGTTGTATACACAGATGGTCCCTACATTGGTAATACTATAAGGTTGTTATTTTGCATTTGATCAATTTTCTGGTGTCCCCTACCGTGATGTTGATGGAATATTGCTAAAAGCGGCGTTAAAACCTCACTCACTCACTCGATCACTCGATCACTCACTCATTCACAATTGATCAATTGTAGGAAACTACATTTATAGTGAACACACTTAATATGAACTGAAGGATATAAATAGCTGTGTTCTGGGCCCTGGACACTTGCTGTATATTTTAGTAGGAATGTGTATAACACGCTCCTGTTATTACGAACTAGAACTAGCGGTCCCTTAGTTATATAGGTAGTTTACTGTATTTGTATTACAACATGTAGGAGAGTTGTTTACAAGGTTCTCACTGCATTGTTTTGGGTGGAAAGCTTTATGGATCCTGGTTTCGTGACGCCAAGCACCTGGAGTCACTTCCTCATCCCCTTTTCATCATTGTAGGACAAGATTGGTCTGCAAACCTATGTAGTTGTAAACACACAGAGATTAATTTTGGTGACTTGGTTAATAGTGTGTCCTTGTTTGTATTGTTTGTTGAAATCTTCAAACTGTGCAATAGTGGTACTATGTACATCATAAACAGGGCAAGAGTGAGTGAGTTCGGTTTTACATTACTTTTAGCAATATTTCCAGCAATATCTTGGCAGCAGACACCAGAAAAGGGCTTAACACATTGTACCCATGGGTCTTCAATGTGATGAGCAACCACTTTTACCACTAGGCTACCCTGGTGAGAGCAAGAAAATGCTTCAGGGAGATAGTATAATGTTCTCACTACATTGTTTTGGGTGGAGAGCCTTATAGAGCCTAGTTATACCCCCGCTGTGAAGTAATGGGGGTATATAGCGTTCATTCTGTGTCCGTCCCTCCTTCCATCCCGAAACTTTGTCCGGAGCATATCTCCTAAAGTTTACATGCTAGGTTCACCAAACTCCACAAACATGTTAATCATTACCAATTGATGTGCCTTTTGCTATTTTAAATTTTTTTCAGAATTCTTTTTTTTTTGCTGTTTCCATGGAAACACGACTTGGTGCCAAATGTGTTTGATGGTTTTGTCCGGAGCATATCTCTTAAAGTTTACATGCTAGGTTCACCAAACTTCACACACATGTTAATCTTTACCCATTGATGTGCCTTTTGCTATTTTAAAGTTTTTCAGAATTTCTTTTGTTGTTGTTTCCATGGAAACATGACTTGGTGCAAAATGTGTTTGATGGTTACCTGGCCACAGCATATCATCAAAACTATACATGCTAGGTTCACCAAACTTAATACACAAGTTAATCATGACCCACAGATATGCCATGTGCTAAAAACTAACAATCTTCATCTACGTCCACTTCATTGTGTGCAACAAGTTCAATTGTATGTAAGGTTTCCACGGAAAACACAAAAAAATAATGTTTCCATAAATTATTACTGTAATCAGTACATGGCAAAACTATTATCTAACATGTATATAAAGTTTAGTCGAGTCAAGGAGAAAGTCTTTTGAGCTGCTGATCCTTGTCACATTATATATATCAATATCAGTCATTTCCATGTCACAAAGTGGGAAGCGGGGGTATGTGAGCTGTGCTCACTTCTTCACTTGTTTGTGATGGCAAAAACCAGGATTTTTTCTGGTGTCATTGCTGGAATATTGCTAAAGGCGGTGTAAAACTGAACTCACCCACTCACTAGTGTATTCCATCGCCCTGTCAGAGCATACAAATGCCACCGGGAGATAGTATGGGCAAAGGCTTGTACTATAGGGGTAAAGTAACATCACCATGCCTGACCACCCAATCCCGTTTACTTGCTTCATATGATAGCCAAAGAGCACTGTGGACCTGTTCTATCCGTAGTCCAGTCAGGGCTTTCCATCAAGTGTGTGATTTAATTGGCAATATTTGCATCTTGTCAGTTCCTGATTTGCTTATTGCTACAAACTAAACATCAGATAGGAAGTGAATATAACTTTTGGACTGAGATATTGCACTCCTTGGTTTGAAATGTAGTAAAAAATGGAAGTGACATCATTAGACTAAACATCTGCTTAATTACTTATATCTTTAGAAAGCTAAAGAGATTTTATATTACAATTTTTGTGAAATTTACGAAAAATGCAGTGATATTTGATTTCCACTTTTACAACAGTATTCAAGCATATCTCTTTACAGTTTTAATATAAATGTTTCCCTTTATATTTAGTTGATGAAAAGATGTAAAAAATATTTCTTTTTCATGTTTCAGGTAACAACTTTTTTGTCCTGTGCCTTCTTGGTTGCAAAAATATTTTTATTTGATGTAAGTACTAAATCTTCTCCATCCTCTAGTGTAGTTGCTTGGTTTTAGTCCTGTTTCACAATAATCCTGATTAAGTGTTTTCTCTTTTCTTTTTCCCCTTCCATGACTACAAAATTTCAGCAACTGACCATGATGACATTGACTATTTGGCGCTACAGTGTACTGAAAAAATGGAAATTGCTCCCACAATAATGCCATATGTTATATGGGAATGCCATGTGTTAAATAGGAATGTCATGTGTTATACTGGATGTCATAGGAATGCAATATGTTATATAGGAATGTGTAATATAGGATGTTAATAAGCTGCCTGGTTGTATATGTCCAGTTCGGCTCCACCCAGAGCAGTAAGAACCCCCTGAGCTACTGTTTGCTCATCATCTCCTTCGTGCTGGCATGGGTAGAGACGTGGTTCCTCGACTTCAAGGTGCTGCCACAGGAGACCAAAGACAGGGAGAAAAGGGAAAGAGGTAACAGAATCTGCATTGACTTGTCTTATGATCTTATTCGAATTCCAGAGTCAATATGGTTTTTATTTTGGTTTGTTGGCACTACGCCAGTGCACATGTTTTGATGGGTACTGAGTCTTAAAAGCGATGTTTAACTAATGCCATGTGGTACTGAGTGTTAAAAGTGATGTTTAACTAATGCCATGTGGTACTGAGTGTTAAAAGTGATGTTTAACTAATGCCATGTGGTACTGAGTGTTAAAAGTGATGTTTAACTAATGCCATGTGGTACTGAGTGTTAAAAGTGATGTTTAACTAATGCCATGTGGTACTGAGTGTTAAAAGTGATGTTTAACTAATGCCATGTGGTACTGAGTGTAAGAAGCGATGTTTAACTAATGCCATGTGGTACTGAGTGTTAAAAGTGATGTTTAACTAATGCCATTTGGTACTGAGTGTTAAAAGTGATGTTTAACTAATGCCATGTGGTACTGAGTGTTAAAAGCGATGTTTAACTAATGCCATTTGGTACTGAGTGTTAAAAGTGATGTTTAACTAATGCCATGTGGTACTGAGTGTTAAAAGTGATGTTTAACTAATGCCATGTGGTACTGAGTGTTAAAAGTGATGTTTAACTAATGCCATGTGGTACTGAGTGTTAAAAGTGATGTTTAACTAATGCCATGTGGTACTGAGTGTTAAAAGCGATGTTTAACTAATGCCATGTGGTACTGAGTGTTAAAAGTGATGTTTAACTAATGCCATGTGGTACTGAGTGTTAAAAGTGATGTTTAACTAATGCCATGTGGTACTGAGTGTTAAAAGCGATGTTTAACTAATGCCATTTGGTACTGAGTCTTAAAAGTGATGTTTAACTAATGCCATGTGGTACTGAGTGTTAAAAGTGATGTTTAACTAATGCCATGTGGTACTGAGTGTAAGAAGCGATGTTTAACTAATGCCATGTGGTACTGAGTGTTAAAAGTGATGTTTAACTAATGCCATGTGGTACTGAGTGTTAAAAGTGATCTTTAACTAATGCCATGTGGTACTGAGTGTTAAAAGTGATGTTTAACTAATGCCATGTGGTACTGAGTGTTAAAAGTGATGTTTAACTAATGCCATGTGGTACTGAGTGTAAGAAGCGATGTTTAACTAATGCCATGTGGTACTGAGTGTTAAAAGTGATGTTTAACTAATGCCATTTGGTACTGAGTGTTAAAAGTGATGTTTAACTAATGCCATGTGGTACTGAGTGTTAAAAGCGATGTTTAACTAATGCCATGTGGTACTGAGTGTTAAAAGTGATGTTTAACTAATGCCATGTGGTACTGAGTGTTAAAAGTGATGTTTAACTAATGCCATGTGGTACTGAGTGTTAAAAGGGATGTTTAACTAATGCCATGTGGTACTGAGTGTTAAAAGTGATGTTTAACTAATGCCATGTGGTAAAACTGAGTGTTAAAAGCGATGTTTAACTAATGCCATGTGGTACTGAGTGTTAAAAGTGATGTTTAACTAATGCCATGTGGTACTGAGTGTTAAAAGTGATGTTTAACTAATGCCATGTGGTACTGAGTGTTAAAAGTGATGTTTAACTAATGCCATGTGGTACTGAGTGTTAAAAGTGATGTTTAACTAATGCCATGTGGTACTGAGTGTTAAAAGCGATGTTTAACTAATGCCATGTGGTACTGAGTGTTAAAAGTGATGTTTAACTAATGCCATGTGGTACTGAGTGTTAAAAGTGATGTTTAACTAATGCCATGTGGTACTGAGTGTTAAAAGTGATGTTTAACTAATGCCATGTGGTACTGAGTGTTAAAAGCGATGTTTAACTAATGCCATTTGGTACTGAGTGTTAAAAGTGATGTTTAACTAATGCCATGTGGTACTGAGTGTTAAAAGTGATGTTTAACTAATGCCATGTGGTACTGAGTGTAAGAAGCGATGTTTAACTAATGCCATTTGGTACTGAGTGTTAAAAGTGATGTTTAACTAATGCCATGTGGTACTGAGTGTTAAAAGCGATGTTTAACTAATGCCATTTGGTACTGAGTCTTATAAGTGATGTTTAACTAATGCCATGTGGTACTGAGTGTTAAAAGTGATGTTTAACTAATGCCATGTGGTACTGAGTGTAAGAAGCGATGTTTAACTAATGCCATGTGGTACTGAGTGTTAAAAGTGATGTTTAACTAATGCCATGTGGTACTGAGTGTTAAAAGTGATGTTTAACTAATGCCATGTGGTACTGAGTGTTAAAAGTGATGTTTAACTAATGCCATGTGGTACTGAGTGTTAAAGTGATGTTTAACTAATGCCATGTGGTACTGAGTGTTAAAAGTGATGTTTAACTAATGCCATGTGGTACTGAGTGTAAGCGATGATGTTTAACTAATGCCATGTGGTACTGAGTGTTAAAGTGATGTTTAACTAATGCCATTTGGTACTGAGTGTTAAAAGTGATGTTTAACTAATGCCATGTGGTACTGAGTGTTAAAAGCGATGTTTAACTAATGCCATGTGGTACTGAGTGTTAAAAGTGATGTTTAACTAATGCCATGTGGTACTGAGTGTTAAAAGTGATGTTTAACTAATGCCATGTGGTACTGAGTGTTAAAAGTGATGTTTAACTAATGCCATGTGGTACTGAGTGTTAAAAGTGATGTTTAACTAATGCCATGTGGTACTGAGTGTTAAAAGCGATGTTTAACTAATGCCATGTGGTACTGAGTGTTAAAAGTGATGTTTAACTAATGCCATGTGGTACTGAGTGTTAAAAGTGATGTTTAACTAATGCCATGTGGTACTGAGTGTTAAAAGCGATGTTTAACTAATGCCATTTGGTACTGAGTCTTAAAAGTGATGTTTAACTAATGCCATGTGGTACTGAGGTTAAAAAGTGATGTTTAACTAATGCCATGTGGTACTGAGTGTAAGCGATGTTTAACTAATGCCATGTGGTACTGAGTGTTAAAAGTGATGTTTAACTAATGCCATGTGGTACTGAGTGTTAAAAGTGATCTTTAACTAATGCCATGTGGTACTGAGTGTTAAAAAGTGATGTTTAACTAATGCCATGTGGTACTGAGTGTTAAAAGTGATGTTTAACTAATGCCATGTGGTACTGAGTGTAAAAAGCGATGTTTAACTAATGCCATGTGGTACTGAGTGTTAAAAGTGATGTTTAACTAATGCCATGTGGTACTGAGTGTTAAAAGTGATGTTTAACTAATGCCATGTGGTACTGAGTGTTAAAAGCGATGTTTAACTAATGCCATGTGGTACTGAGTGTTAAAAGTGATGTTTAACTAATGCCATGTGGTACTGAGTGTTAAAAGTGATGTTTAACTAATGCCATGTGGTACTGAGTGTTAAAGGGATGTTTAACTAATGCCATGTGGTACTGAGTGTTAAAAGTGATGTTTAACTAATGCCATGTGGTACTGAGTGTTAAAAGCGATGTTTAACTAATGCCATGTGGTACTGAGTGTTAAAAGTGATGTTTAACTAATGCCATGTGGTACTGAGTGTTAAAAGTGATGTTTAACTAATGCCATGTGGTACTGAGTGTTAAAAGTGATGTTTAACTAATGCCATGTGGTACTGAGTGTTAAAAGTGATGTTTAACTAATGCCATGTGGTACTGAGTGTTAAAAGCGATGTTTAACTAATGCCATGTGGTACTGAGTGTTAAAAGTGATGTTTAACTAATGCCATGTGGTACTGAGTGTTAAAAGTGATGTTTAACTAATGCCATGTGGTACTGAGTGTTAAAAGTGATGTTTTAATGCCATGTGGTACTGAGTGTTAAAAGCGATGTTTAACTAATGCCATTTGGTACTGAGTGTTAAAAGTGATGTTTAACTAATGCCATGTGGTACTGAGTGTAAGAAGCGATGTTTAACTAATGCCATTTGGTACTGAGTGTTAAAAGTGATGTTTAACTAATGCCATGTGGTACTGAGTGTTAAAAGCGATGTTTAACTAATGCCATTTGGTACTGAGTCTTATAAGTGATGTTTAACTAATGCCATGTGGTACTGAGTGTTAAAAGTGATGTTTAACTAATGCCATGTGGTACTGAGTGTAAGAAGCGATGTTTAACTAATGCCATGTGGTACTGAGTGTTAAAAGTGATGTTTAACTAATGCCATGTGGTACTGAGTGTTAAAAGTGATGTTTAACTAATGCCATGTGGTACTGAGTGTTAAAAGTGATGTTTAACTAATGCCATGTGGTACTGAGTGTTAAAAGTGATGTTTAACTAATGCCATGTGGTACTGAGTGTTAAAAGTGATGTTTAACTAATGTCATGTGGTACTGAGTGTTAAAAGTGATGTTTAACTAATGCCATGTGGTACTGAGTGTTAAAAGCGATGTTTAACTAATGCCATTTGGTACTGAGTGTTAAAAGTGATCTTTAACTAATGCCATGTGGTACTGAGTGTTAAAAGGGATGTTTAACTAATGCCATTTGGTACTGAGTCTTAAAAGTGATCTTTAACTAATGCCATGTATAGTTACCCTGTCTTTCAATATAAGGCTTTTGTGTGAAAATATAATTAAAATGTACATTCAATGTACTTATTCTGTCTCACACTTTGTATCATGTCTCATTTCTGTAACAAAAAGTGGAAATGCTGCCCTACAAACCAGCTGTTTTATTTAAGTATTAATAATTTAATCTAATACAATTGTACAATTGCCAATACTGTTCAAAGCCGTAGATATCTCTGTCTCCTTCCCTTTCTATTAGTGATGCATGTTTAGTTATACGAATAGTTATGTCAAAGAGAGAAGTAGACATTCAGGAAGTACATATCCCGTTTTTCTTCTCTTCCCAGCTTCCAGAGGGTATATTGATGAGCGAACACCTCTACTCCGTGACAATGATGATCGTTCAGTAGATGACAGTAGATACTACTCTCCTGTAGAGTCACTAGATGGTAAGTAGAGTTACCTCCCTTAGACTCAGATTTCTGTTAATCAATGCTGTAGTTATCAGTGTGCAGAAACAGCCATGAGTTGTTGACTGCCTCCCCACTGTGCTGGTTTTGTGTTAGTTTTACTTCAGTTTTGACGTCAGTTTTACCTAGATGATACAGTCATCCCTCGCAATAACGCTCTTCGCGATACCGCGGATTCGGATAAACCACGGGGTAATCCATGGCTCCCTTATAAAAAGTTGCCCAGCGATCACACATCTTCACGTCATCGAAAATAGCACATCAACAAATTCACTGTTGAGCTCTGGTTAATCACGTTGTGAACTAGTGAAATTCTGTGCGGATTGCAATCAACAGTGTTTATCGTACATATCCATGGTTTTTTCAGATGATAAAACATGCAGGGTTTTCCCAATAATAATCAGACGAACAGCGAAACATCGTAATAATGGCCTGGAATAGTCTCCCACACGGTCTCAGAGAATGTTCTGACTTTCATACCTTTAAATCCAATCTAAAAACACACATGTTCAAGATGGCCTTTGACCTGTAGCTCTTTGCCTTTCTTGCATTTTTATTTGTGCGCTTTGAGCATGCATAAGCATGGATATATGCGCGGTCCAAATATGCTATTATTATTATTATTATTATTATTATTATAATAACTTATAAACGACAACTTTATCATAAAGACATGCCATCAACCGAATACTTACAATTTCTGCTGTGATGCAACACACCGCGTTATTGCGCGGGTAAACACTGCCATCCGAGAACGTATGATGTCAGAAAACACATTTTATTTGATTAAATTCAATCTCATTTTCATTCATTAACACTGTTTACAGTAATAACGAAGAAACCGTGAGTGAAATGGCATTACCTGATTTCATACAACTTCCGCTTACCACATTCGTGAGGGTTTTTTGCGCCTACCACGATAGCACTAATTTCACATATTTCTCAGCAATCACAAACAGATTACAGCTTCGTCATCCATGGACCCCAAGACCCACGTTATTGACTCATTGAAGTCATATTTGACATTTAATTGCCAACAGTTTGCTTTTACAATCAAAGTGGCACGTACTGCGGGAAGTATGCAGTGACTTGTCAAAATGTCTCCTACGCAAAATGTATCCCGCCATGTAACCCAAGGTGCTTAGCCTATGTTAATTGTTATGTTAAATATGTTCGTAGAAAACATGCATTATACTTATACGATCGCAATATATGATATCTCTGTAAAATAACTCCTTAAGATATAAATTATTCTGATAATGGAATACAAATTCTTTGATGTTATGTTATCGGATCGTTTTTAACTGAATCACCGGTACATTGGACCAAAACATCTGTGCACAGCTGATTGCTATTTCCGGCTTAGTTGAATAACAGGTAGCATAACAGGAACAACAATTGAATTATCATGTCTAGTGAAGTTTGATTGCAAGGTTCCTGTACATACATCTATTTTCATTTACAAAGTTGTTTTTTTTCACGTCCAACAATACGATATAGTTTCGACAGGGCACAATACCCGAAATAACAGTTTTGTTATGTCCATGGAAAATATGATTTTACTTGGCCTTTGTTCCGCTTTATGTAATAGTTACTATAACACGGGTGTCTAATAACGCGGTGTGTGTGTGTGCGTGTGCGTGTGTCGTGTGCGTGTGTGTGTGATCCATGGACCCCAAGACCCGCGTTATGGCGAGGGATGACTGTATATGTAAATATTGGAAATAATTACATTTTGTAGGTGCTGGAGAAAGATGAGATCATGCAGTGTCTCTCAGTGTCCATTACATAACAGAATGATCTGACCTGCCTTCCCTTGTATTGGTGCCATGGTCATGTTGTTCGTAAATCATCAAAGTTATGCATGTCTCGGGAATATCTTTCACCTTTCACTGAGTTTCAGACTATTTAATTTTTAACAATTACAACAGTGAAGGTTAAGATATAGGTTGAAGGGTTGATTGTTTAAGAGAAGTAATAAAATATTGACACTATTGATCTGAAACAGAGAGAGGTAAATTTAATGTAGAAGTTGACAGCCCTATTATATTTATCTCATATTGAATACAAGGGAATGAATATATGGGATGTTTATAACAGAATAACATGACTCTTGTCTTAAATATAGCAGCCAATCAAGTTGGATTGATCAACAGTGGGACGTAGGTAACCTTACAACCAATCAGATTGTAGATTCCAGATGTTCTGATTCAGACCGTTTGTGTTGGTTGCTGTCTTTAGGGACATGTATTCCCGATTTACATCAGTGTAGTTCTGATAGTTCAGTATATATCTGGGTGGAACTGTGAGCATTTTTCTTTCAAGCATGATTACTGTGGTAGGAATCTGTTATGTTAAGATGAGATTGTGCTATGCTAAGGCGTGTGGTTGCAGGACTTATCCCAGCATGTTAACCTGGGTATGCTGCACTGGCACTTCACTGACCCAGACAGGACTGCCCAGTGACTGCCTCAACTACTGGCGACAAGCCATATATTTAGTACAGAAATATCCAGGAACATTGTTGTTAGAATAATTTCTCAGTATTTTCAGCGATACTGTTGCAAAGTATTCGTGACGAGAATTGTCATTGTCACTTTTAGTGAAGAGAAATGTCATTTAAGCAGTTTAAAGACACAAAAGACATTGCTACACAGGCGAAATGTAAATACTGACACACACCCAATTTGCAACTAGGATATGTGCAGTAATTTTTTGTGTCTGCTTATATTGTCATGAAGTTGTACACACAATATATGGAACTGAACGACTATGTTTATTAAATATCATAAGCATCATCAAATTTGATTATGCAAATGTTGCTGATTATCTTGTATCTTCCATTGTTATACTGTGGGTTTAGTGGAAATTACTGTTTGGACGCCCGGTAAATAAAACTAGGGAAAAACATTGAGATCCATATGAATTTTGTTAATGATAGGGTTTGTCGTTACTTCTAATGCATAATGAAGACATAATGATTAATTTCAATCTAGTGTTTTTGAACGATGTTTGTTTGTAAACATGTCGGGTCACAGTGGGACAATAGTACAGAAGAATATTTTCATTATTTCTAGTTACTTTTATCAAAGGGGCAGTGAGGTAGCCCAGTGGTTTAAGTGTTCGCTCATCATGCCGAAGACCCGGGTTCAATTCCCCATATGGGTACATTTTGTGAAGCCCATCTCTGGTGTCCTCTGCTGTGATATTGCTGCAATATTGCTAAAAGTGGCGTAAAACCCAGCTCACTCACTCATATATCATTTGTATGTAATTTTTAGACAGATCCGCATATATACAGATTTTATGCAGACAGACATCCTTGATCTTATCTATGACTTTCATACATTCCCCCTTGATTCAGTAGAAATCCCCCACCCCAAACTCTACCCTTTCACTGCTAATTGGGTTATCTCCCTCTCAATTACAAGTTTCTGTCAAAATGTTGTGAGACATGGATCAATGGGCAAAGGGCTTTAAAACCTCCCTGGGGTATATCTCAAGGAATGCTTTATCCATCAGACCATGGAGGTGGTGTGGTTTTTGTTTACAAGCAGTAGATGTTATGGTGATTGGTCAAAGTTAAACACATGACCAGTCACACCACTATTGACCGTTGACAGCTGGCCAGTACCTCTATAGCCCAGGAATCCTTACTGTTGTAGTATGTAAAACACTGGCTCCATAACCATGTTAGATGACTATTGATCATCTGCTGCATCTCCTCATGCTTGCACAATCCCAGGACTGTACTGGCTTAAAGCTATTTATCATATTGATATTCTATTTTCTACATTTCCAAGGTGTGTTACACATAGCAGTACTTGATTAAACATTATAAGCCATTACTTTGGTGATGTGATCATGCATGCTAGCCTACCTCAAACTGGAGCATAGTGTCATTTTGTAAGTGAGTGGTGGTGAGATATAATAATAATAGCAATAGTAATCCAGTGCTCTGGGCTGCCAGGGAACTGTGTCATTGACCCCATAAACAACTCCCCTGGGATATGAAATTCTGCCACCAGGTACCACTTACATGAGTGATATAGTTTGATAACTATCTACCCCATTTTAACAATGTTCTTCTATGGCAGTTATACTATGACTGCTTTGTGCTAGTGCCCATTCTTTTAATAGGTGTTGGGTCACTCCTGGCCTGTTATGCTGCAGCAACTTGTGTGGAAGTGGCAAGGGTTGGGCCTTGATTTATGGGTCTCTGATAGAAACAACACTTTACTTGGTCTCACTTTTGTTGTGACTGCAAATTTAGCTTTTCATTACCAACTAGTTGTCTGAAGCAACTTACATTACACTGTACCTGCGTGAAGAATATAGCACATAACTTCATGAGATCATGTTTTTAATGAAAATATAAATCAATGCCTTGAAACATTGTTTTAATTTATTTTACTCCACTTTGGACAGGATTGTTAAGAGAAAATCTGTATAAGTCAGTTCTCAGGTTATGGAGGCAGTACAGGTGTCACTGTGAACATTTGGCCTGGCACTCAACCCATGCATGTTGGAAGAGTTGACTAACAGGATTTGGTGGTCATACTCGCCAGCTTGGTTGAGGCATATATCATTGTTTCTCAGTGATGTCGCTTGATGCTCATGATGTCAATCACTGGATTGTCTGGTTCAGACATTATTTACAAACCACTGTCATTAACTGAATGCAGCACAAAAGGGCAAGGAAAAAATTGATTGTAATTTTTGTTGAGAATATAATCATTCCATGATATATCACAGCCATTTTTTAGAGAAACCTTTGTAGAAATGTTCAAATATCCAAGTAAAAATGATGAAGTCACATATTCCTTATCTGTTTCAAATACAAAACTATTTGGGGATGTATCCAACTTTTACTTGTGGGTAATATTTTTTTTGTTTCCACTATAATCTTCAATGTAATTGTCAAGTTATATGATTGGTGTATTGTCGAATTATTTGGACGTCACATATTGTCAGAAAGC